ATCTCGAGAGCCAGCTCTCCCTCAGAAGCAGGAGGATTTGGTGTTGGAGCAGAGCAAGAAATTGTCAACGGTGCAGCGGGGGATGGTGACCAGGCAGCATGCATCCTAAGGGACCCACTGCTCACCCGGGCACACGGCTCTGCTGCCCCAATGTCCCAGTGATGGTGGTTCCAGTGAGAAGGGCGAAGGTTTGGCTGAATGAGGAGACTGCAAAGTGCAGGACTTGAAAGAAAGGAACGGTTTTATTTGCTGCTGTGCAGCAGTAGGAAAAAATACCTTTTGTTGGTATAAAAATGTGCAAGATGCACGGCGTGGTTTCTTATTTTTACTACAGGTGCGTTTTACAACGTTTTGCAAAATCAATAAATATTTTATATGGTACCAGTGCTCTCTAGCTGCATTCATTTCATGGACAGGATGAGTTTTGTTTGTGCTCTGCAGGAGCCTCCAGTCCCTTCATGAATAGCTGTGGCCAGTAAACCAACCCTCTCCATAGAACTCCTTCCTCTGGTCCAGCAGCTCATGGCAGAGTGTTGGAGTTGCCCGACTCCAAAATTCTGCTGCCTTCCAAAAATGGGTCACTGTGTGGGGAGGAGTTGGCTCACAAGCCACGTTCCCAAAGCTGGAGGTGGGGATCTTCCTTCCGGGGTTATCTGAGTTTGATGGCATAGATTCAGGGCTCTGCCATGTCCACGTGCACCCAGAGCTGCTGAAAAACCTGTCTGTCCCCCACAGATCTCTACCAGGCTATGGGCACAGCTAAAAGCAATGCTCTGCTTTGGTTGGGATCCTTCCTGAGCCTGGTGCTTGATTGTGGAGAACAGTGTTTGCTCCCCATGTCACAAATGGAAAAGCTGCTGCATGGGAAGACAGAGCAGCACAGTGGGAGTGGTAGAAACAGGGATCTGAGTGCTGTCAGCATCATTAGAGAGCCTTCACCTGTTTGAAACCTTCCCACGGTTAGTTCTGAGCACTACAGAATCTTGCTGTGTCACTAATGTTAAACTTTGCAGAAAACTGCAGCTTAAAGATTCTGACCATGCTACAAAGCAGCGGAGAAATCATCCTTGGCAAGCAGGGAAGGGGGAGAAAATCCCTCTGTTTGCTCAGTGCCAAAGGCAGTGGTGCAAGGATAGGGGCATGCACAGAAACTAGGAGCTAAAAGCAAACAGTTGTTACAAACTGCAGGAGGGGCTGGAAAACAAAGCAGCACTGCCTGACAGCCACAACAAACACACAGATCCTCCCAGAGCTGTGAGTCAGGATTAAAATCCAGACAGAATCCACACACAGAGCTACTTGTCAGGCTTTGAACCAAGAGCAAAGTACCTTTTCCTTGAGGGAAAAAAAAAGAACAGAGTCCAGTTTAAGAAAAAAAAAAACCAAAAAAGGCCTTGGAGAATGATGTGATTTGGGCTTTAACCAAACCCTTTGGCTTTTGGTGAGGCGGAGTGACCCCAGCACCAATGGGAATTTGGAGGCAAAGAGGGGCAGAGGGTCGCAACCTGCAGCACCCGGAGGCCAGGCTCCATGGTGGAGCACGTTGTGTGTCCCCACAGCACAGCCAGCATGACGGCAAGGGTCAGCCCCAGCTGAGGATCACGTCTGTCCCACAGTGCTGGGCTTCACCCCGTGCTGCTGGCACACCGCAGCCCCGTCCCACTGCACCCCGCCGCCCTCGCCGCCTCTCTGCCATTATCCAGTCATGGGTTTATGAGCTTAAAGCAAAGAGGTTTGTGGCACAATCAAAATAGCTGCTCCTAAGGCAGCTCACGGGATTAGACAGCTAAAGAGCCGCGCCAGCGGTGCTGCAGCCAACTCGGTAAATCCTGCTTTTCTGCCTCCTATCTCACGAGTTGCCCCCCAGTCCGTGGGGCTGAGCCGTGTGCTGCCACTTCTGCAACAGTGCCTCGGGCTTCAGCTGGGGCTGTAGATCAGGTGAGCATCGATGGCTGATGCACAACGAGCGTATAAGGTCCTATTTCAACTATATGGTGACAAACAGAAAAACTGAAAGGAAGGCAACTTTATTTGAATACAGTGAATATTTGAATACAGTGAGGGTGACGGAGCACTGGAACAGGCTGCCCAGGGAGGTGGTGGAGTCTCCTTCTCTGGAGATGTTCAAGACCTGCCTGGATGCCGACCTGTGCAACCTGCTGTAGGGAACCTGCTTTGGCAGGGGGTTGGACTCCATGATCTCTGGAGGTCCCTTCCAACCCCTACAATTCTGTGATTCTGTAAAACTCAGTGTGCGTGGGGGTTTGGTAGCCCGGTAACATCACTGTAACTGTGATCAACGGCAGACTTGCCAAATGCAGCAGACCAAAGTGCTCTGCAGACGTCCCAGTCCTTGTCCCACAGCGAACCCCTCCAACAAGGCAGCTTCCAGCCCCATCCCTGAGCCCCCACCCTGATACCCAATGGCACAACCCCCCCAAACAGCACCTGCCACAACCACGTGCCATCAGCAAAACGCATCCACGTGGACCAGGTGCGAATTGCAGGAGGCAATTGTGACTGGGATACACTGGGGAGTAACCAGGCAGGGTGTGTGCTGCACAGCCAGTGCTGCAAGGACATCTGAGGCAAGCACAGGGAGCATCTGAGGCTGAGTTAAAGCCACGCAGTGAGGGATAAGCTCTCGAGGAGAGCCACGCGTTGCCCAAGGTGCAGCACATCACTGGAGCCACCCAGGGTCAATTTCTATTGCTCTGCTTCCTTAAGGACCTGTCTGAATGCAGTTCGCTCTGACCTGTAGATCAGGTGCATTAAGTCCCCGGGCAAATTGCAGCTGGCACAAGATCTGACACCTCTCTGCCTCTGCCAACCTGGCAGCACAGCCACAGAGATCTGATTTCAGCTCAGGCCCTCGTGGCAGAGCTGGGCACCAGGAATGCAGCAGCCCTCCTGCCCAGGCCGTTGGCTTCAAGGGCATGAGCTGAATGTCTTCGGCACGCTCGCCTGCTATTTGGAGTGTGGGCTCTGCATGTTTTGAGAGCTGCCAGGCTAAATTTAGGGGCCCAGATAAGGATATTAGCCTCTCTTACACAGCAGCAAGGGCATCAGGAACATGGAGAGTGGCCAAGGCACAGGGCAGTCAAAGCAATGCATAGAGGCAGAAACTCCTGATTTGGTCACACAGGAAAAAAATAAATGCAGTGCTTAGAAACGGCCCAAACTGGGCAGGATTTACTCTAAAACAGCAGTGAGTGCAAGCACAAAGTCAAACCAAACTATCCCACAGTCACCACAGCACGTAATGGGGGCACCCCTGTCTGTAAAGAAAGACCTGCATTCATGGTAAAGAATGCTGGGAGAGCAGAGTATGAGTATGAGACATCCTCATGTCTACAGGATAAAGGAAAATGAGGGGAAAAGATGAGGAAAACAAGGGGAAAAGTGTAATCCTCTACATTTAATAAAGATTTGCTAATGGGTTAAAAACAGCCAAATATCCTTCAAAAGGGAGAACAAAAAGCTGTATTCTAGTTCCTGCCAAATGCCTCTGTGTCCCCACGGTGCATGCAGGAGCCTGCCTCAATCCCAGTGCTGGAAAACACTGGCTGCAAGGGGCTGGGTGATGCAGGAGGGACATGCAGCAGGAGGGAGTAGGCAGGAGGATTCAGGTGGAGCTGCTCCCCTTGCAGTGACCCCTATGAGGATCTGGCAGCAGCGCAGCCAGGAGCAGCTCCATGGGCTGAATTCAGCTCCTGGGATCAGAAAATGCCTCCACAGCCTCCCTGCCCTCCTCTCACTTTCTTCACTCCCCGCCCTCCAGAAGAGGTTAAAAACAAGTTCTTAAGCAAAACAAACCCAGAAAAAGCTCTGAGTGGGAGTGAGGCGCAGCGATGCCAGGTGATGGGAAGGGAGGGAAAAATCCCCATGGGCAGCAAAGCACAGCTGGGGTGGGGGCTCTGCAGCATCCACACCAAGGCTGGCAGCTATTGCTTCCCACAACATCCTCATGCTATGTAATAACAACAGATTACAACAGCAGCTCTCCCCACTCGCAGGACGGATGAGGCAGGGCTGAGGGATTTGTTTTCTCAAGCCCAGCAGTGAGATGAGTGCCCTGTGATCACAACCCGAGTTCAAAGCAAAGGGACTCAGGAAGGGGCAGAGCTTCTGCAGCGCTGTTATGGGACCAAATGTGGGCGAAGTGATTCTTATCAGGAGAAAGTTGGGTCTGAAGTAAAAGAGCAGAACTGGGAGCAGCGAAGGCTGCGGGGAGCACACGGTGCCCACCTCGTGCAGCAGTGTCAGTGCTCTGCAGGGCAGCTCCCAGCCCTCTCCCACACCATCAGTGGCACTGGGTTTCCTGCTGCCTGGACATAGCAAAGGAGCGGATGTGACATGTTTTTCCCTTGGACTGCATTCACTTACAAATAACAGCAAAGCTCCCGCAGCGCTCCAAGCAGGCAGCACGAGAACTGTGACTTCTCTGCAAAAAAACACAACTCTCAGTGCTTGCCTGCAGGATTCTTGGTGCTCCCCTTGGAGCTGGGGGTGCAGCCCTAAGGGGGTTCAGCTCAGCCCTCTCAGGAGCAGGGTGAGGTGAAAAAGCAAATGCTGCCTCCGTGGTTTCCTCCCTGGGTGACAGAGAGAGATGACTGCCCTGCGTGGAGGGTCCCATCCAGATGGGTGCTGCAGCTGCATGCATCCAGAGCCAGCGGGCATTAAAGAGGAGCCTCGGCCACCTGCAGCACTCTGCCTCTGATGTTCTCCGAGTGAAACTTGATGCTGTTCAGCAAGGACACACCTCTTCCAGGGTGTTGTGCAAAATTCTGCATTTTAACGTAGGGACAGGAAATATGAACAGAGCCGGGCAGAGCCCGCAGCAGCACCACTGGTTAGGCCACGGCTCCCCAGCTCCGTGGGAGCAGATTGAAGTGTTTGCTTCTCTCACCAACCCCACCGTGACTTCCCAGTGCTTTGGGAGCCACGGCTCCCGCACCAACAGGTTTTGAAGGATTGGCATTGCTGCTGCGTCCGGGAGCAGCTCAGCAGAGGCTGTTTTCCTCTTTTCTCTTCCTGCTCCATTTCCTACGATGGGTTTGTTGCAAAAGATTCTCATCCCCGTTTTAGGACTGGTTTTGGCCTTCTGTTTTTATTCGTCGAGGGAGAATTTCAAACCTGGTGAGTATCGCAGGGGAATCTGTCCTGATGCAAAATATTAAAAGCCACATTTGAGCGTTTGGCACGGAGATGTGCAGAGGTTGGACCAAGCCTTTGTGGCAGGGCTGAGGATGGAGCGCAGTTTTAGCAGAGATCTGGACTCTAATGGAAGAAGCAACACGCAGCTCCCGGGGGAGCAGGGAGGCAGGGGCTCCTGAAGCAAAGAAGGCTTTGAGCACTTTGCATTCAAGCGGAAACTAACTAACTAATGTTGGATTTTAAGTTCTGCACTGATGGCGTGTTTTTCATTGCAGAATAGCTGGGGTGTTTGTAAGTTGCGTCCTGATGTGTGAAAAGCTGTTGAAGGAGCCAAGAACTGTGCTGTTGTGGTCAGTTCAAGCTGCAGCTGCTCCTGGGTACAGCATTTCCAGGGGAGGGAAGAGGATGAGCGGGACGGAGCACGAAGATCTGCATTCGTCTTGCCATTCGCTTCTACTTGAAGGCATTAGGGGGCTTTATTTTCTCTTCAAATAGGGTTTGGATAAATTAAACTCCTGTGCCTTGGTCCCCAGAGATGCTGAAAGGGAAGCGTGTGATCGTCACCGGAGCGAGCACCGGAATCGGGGAGCAGATGGCGTATCACCTGGCACGGATGGGAGCCCACGTCCTGGTCACGGCGCGGACGGAGGCAAAGCTGCAGCAAGTAAATGGCAAGCTGGGCACTCACACATGCACACACACAGACACAGGGAGGCCAACCTCACACTGCAGGTATATACGTAAATACGGTTGCATGGAACTGCAGCGGCACAGAGAGCAGATGTGTGCAGTTCTGCTCACGGGTGTGCAAAGTTACGCTCTCCAGAGCTCCTGCATGCACAGAAATGGGCCTCCTGCAGGCACGCACTGCACGCCCTGTATGTTTGAATTGCTCGGCGAAGTACACGTCTGCATATGCACAGACTGCAGCCACACACACCCTCATTCCACTGCAGTGATCTATCAGCTCCCGCTTAACCTACACACACAATTCCAGCACAGACCGCACTCATGAGGAGCCAAACGGCCTCGGGCCATGCATTCAGCAAAGGAATAAACTTCAAAGGGAGCCCGAGAGATTCAGAGGCTCCCAGAAACCCTGCAGTGAGGTTTGGGGGGCTGAGGCGTGTTTTGGTGAGCGCAGCCCCCAGCTTGCAGGGCCTGATGCGCCGCGTTGCATCGCAGGTGGTGGAGAGGTGCCGGGCGCTGGGGGCCAGCTCAGCACGGCTGGTCAGCGGCAGCATGGAGGACATGGCCACCACCCGGCAGCTGGTGGAGGTGGCCGAGGCTGAACTGGGTATGTCTGCAGCTCCCCAGCACGCTGCTTTGTTGCTGTGCGCCACAAAAGCAAAAAGAAGTGGGGATGGGAAAAGGTTTCCCTTAATTCTGCGCCCTGCAGCTCAGCCTGCATCGCTCCAGCAGAGCTTAAACTGCCCTCTGGATTTCATCCCCGTGCCCTCGTAACATCCTGTCCTGATATCGCAATCCTGGGTTTCATCACTGCTGCTACCAGGGGTGAAGCCATGCAGCAGCTCACAGCTGCATTGCTGTTGTGGTCGTGGGTCATCACTGCAGAATGGCAGTGCTCAGCTCAGTGCCGTGCCTCCCTCTCCCGAAATGAGCCCAGATAGCTCAGGAGCAATCTCCCTTTTGCAGTGTTATTTGTGTTTCAAACTGGGGAGGGAAAGGGACACAACAGCTCTCATCTGGGACGAGTTATTTGATTCCAGCATGTTTTCATTGGCAGCCACCATCCAGGCCATCCCAGCTCCAAAGATGGCAGGCCGCAGCTTTGACCCAAAAAAACCAACCCCAAGTGACACTGACCCCAAAACATTCTGGTTGCATTGGTTCTGCTGTCAAGAAAGGCTCCATCCTGCCCACAGCAGCCCCTTCCCACCCAAAACTAACGCCCGCTCCTCTGCTTCCAGGAGGCCTCGACATGCTGATTCTTAACCACGTTGGCAAGTCATACTTCAATTACTTTGATGGGGATGTTGGACACGTCCAGAAGCTCCTGAACATCAACTTCCTGAGCTATGTGGCCATGACAGTCTCTGCCCTGCCCATGCTGAAGCGGAGCGGGGGTAGCATCGTGGTGGTCTCCTCCATGGCAGGTGAGTGGGAGCGAGGTCTGGGACGTGGGATTCCATGGGTTGGTTTCTGTAAGAAACATTTGCACCTCAGAGGAGCCAGAACTACTTAACACTCCCAAAGCAACCACAGTTTCCAGGTCTTTTTCGCATTTCTGATGCAATCCCACTGCCCCACCTGGTGATTAAATCCCACACCCAGCCGTGCAGCAGAGCTCACGTAGCTCCAGTTCTACAAAGAAAAGGGGAAAAGCCTTCATTTCTCACTGCGCTGTTCCTCTGACGGCTCGTTGTGGTTTGCCAGGTCAAGATCCTGCAAATGTTTGCAGAGCCTTTTCTAATAAGTTTCTGCTAAGTCAGGAGATTAAATTAACAGCAGCTGCAGCCCCGGCACTGCTGGCTGCTGGGAATCAGCTCCACTCAGCACCCAGAGGCAGGAGATCAAACTTTGCTCCATGGCTGCTGCCTGTTGCTCACACCTGAGCAGAGCTGTGAGATGTGCTGCTGGACTTCAGACTGTGACAGAGCTGGAAGCTGACAGGACTGCTCTGCAGTCCTGCTGCTCAGGTGCCAGGGTGACTTTTCCCCTAGCAGTAAACTCCCTTTGGCTAAAATCCTTTATCTGATGAAGCAGAAACAGAGGCTGCTGCAGCTTTCCATGCTTTAATGGAACTTCACTCTGTATCCAGGTAAAGTTGGGTTTCCCTTTACGGTCCCTTACTCTGCAACTAAGTTTGCCCTGGATGGATTTTTCAGCTCCCTGAGGCAGGAATTCAGCATCCAGAGCGTTAACGTTTCCATCACACTCTGCATCCTTGGCTTCATTGACACTGGTAAGCTCCATCCGTGCCATCTGGCTGCCCAGGAACTGAGCATCACATGCCCAGCTTTGTGCCCTCCCCTCCTGTGCCCCCACCTCCAGTGCTGCTTTTCCTGCTGTAGTGGGAGCGAGTGCAGCATCACCTCTGCTCTCAGCAGGCTCCTACCTCTCTTCCACCAAAAAAAAAAGACTCCAGACTGATTTGTTTCCCTGTGCTGTACTCAGGTAGGAGATTAGGACAAAGGTATTCTGAGGAAGAGCAGTCAGGCAGCAGCTCAGGCTGTGGAGTCACCATCCCTGGGGGTGTTTGGAGCCGTGGAGATGTGACACTTGGGGACAGAGTCACAGTGGGGATGGTGGGGTTGAACTTGGGGATCTCAGAGCTCTTTTCCAACCATAATGACTCCGTGGTTCTATAAAAATCAGCCAATCAGTGCACAGGCTGGGACAGCCTAAAATTCAATGAGTTTCAGTGGAAGCACCGGCCGCACATCTCCCATTAATCTTATCCGATGCAGCGAGCGACGGGAGCGAAAGCAATGATGGGAGCGACTTGAAGCTGCTTCTGTTTTCCAGTGCACACACTACATTTAGCTGTAGGAACAGAGGCAGCTCCGCAGCTCGCTCATCGCAGGCAAACCATCAAAAGGACAAGCAGAGGGCAGCCCTACTGAAACCTCTCTTGTCCCTCGACTAGAGAACGCCATGCGTGCGGCCGCCGACGTTCTCCTGATGTCCCCGGCTCCCAAAGAGGAATGCGCCCTGGAGATCATCAAAGGAGGAACCCTGCGTCAGCGCGAGGTCTATTACCGCTACGCATCCACCAAACTGCCGCTGCTGCTGCGGGATTGGGCCGCCGAACTGCTGGACCTGCTGGTGCGGCAGCGGTACCGACCCGAGCGGCTGCGGGCGGCCTGAGGGATGTCACCGCCGGGCCGACAGCCGCCTCTGCTGGCCGCAGCCGTGCTTGCAGCCCTCCCCCGTCAGTTAGCTTTAATAACCGCCTCGTCCCCGAGAGGAGCCGGCTGGGATCCCCGGCTGAGCTGCGGATTCCTGCAGGTGCGCCCTTCCTGCTTGGAAGCCGTCCTGATTGGAGCCTTTCCCCAAAGCTGGGGAAAGTAGTAACTAAGTGATTGTTAAGTGCAGCTTACTAACCTTGTTGTGTGCTCTGTGGATTTTTGTTGTTGTTTTGGTTTTAATCTCTTTTTTCATTACTAAACGCTGCTGCGAATGGGCATCGTTCCACGGATCCGCCTTTCTTTAATTATTGAATGCTGCAATAAACCATTATCTCATTGGAAGAGTAACAGTCTAGCTTGTTTTTCATTTAGCTCAAAGTCCAAGTTCAATGCAAATCTATTCAGCAAGTTAATCCTTCGGGGTACAGTCCCTTACACAGACATTAACTACAAAACGCCCCTGGACACACAGTGCTGCTTCGGTGTTGCCCTAAGCCATAAGCTCAGCACTAAGCACAGTGCTCACTGAAGGCAAAACCTCAGCAGGAGCCTGCAGTGATGTGACACAGCTCCCCTCACCCCAGCACTGATATCCGACCGGTGCTTCCATCCAAAATCACTGCCCACCCCTCCAATTGCTGCCTGCTGCAAGATGAAGTAAGAACCCCATCCCCAGGCCGCCCCCCAGGATCATTTTGCTCCTCACTATCTATGGGAAGCTGGAGCTGCACTTCTGTTCTCCTTATCTTGACACCCATTGTGTACAGAGCAGGTTTTGCCCTTTAAATTTCTCTTTGGGAAAATTATTTGCGAGGCAGTTTGCCCTTTGCCCAGGCAGGTGCTTAGCAGTGACACAGAACACCTGTGAAAGTGAAGATCTTCATTATTCACCTCTTGGCTCTTTAAGTGCCTTTCACAGTCTGCCTCATTGGATTCCTCAAGAGAGAGTGCAATTTTGTGGGTCTAAGAGCCACACAGGAGCTGTCAGCACTGTGCCAATGGTGATGTTACAGAGTGCAAGCCAAAAACAGCAGCAGGGCCAGCCCTGTTCTACCCAATATCTGTATGACCCTGCATCTCAGTGGTCAGCGCTGACCAACAAACCCTCGTGGCACCAGAGAGGAAGGGAAAATTGGGCTCAGTTTTAGATATGAAGTGGAAGAGAGAAAGCTGAAAGGTCTGAAAGGGGGGACACGGGTGTCCCAGCCCCACCAGCAGTCACCAAACAACAAACCCACATCTCCACCAGGCAGCAGCTTCCCAGGGTGGCCTCAGAAAACACCCTGGACATTGATAGGAGGAGAAGGGTGCAAAGAGTCAGCCCAAAGTCCAGCACAACGCCCTCTATTAGGTTAATGTTTGCCAAACTGCAGGGAGCACAAAAGGAATAGGATCGAATATAGAAGAATAGCAGACCTGCAGGGATCAGCTCAGAGCAGCCACTGCTCTCCTCGGCCGTGCGTCTGCTCCAACCCGAGCACTGGCAAAGGAATGGGGCTGCTCCTGAAGGTTCTCATCCCCTTGTTGGGGCTGGGGCTGGCCGTGTATTTTTACTCAGGACCTGGGAATTTCAGCGAAGGTAAGTCATTGAAAATGCACGCTTAGCAGCAGGCAGCCGGGCTGCTGCCCAGCCCGCACCACCCGGGGGCATCCAAAGCAGCTGAAAAGCAGAGCGCAGGAGGTGCACAAGAGGTGGGAGCCCTCCTCGCCACTCAGGAGCAGCTCATGGGGTGGTGTGTGGGTCTGCCAGGCTCGCATTCTTACTCTGAGCAAACGGATTTGTTTTGGAGACACGCAGTTTACCACTGTAAATATTTATTCATTTTCTTTGTCAACTCCTGCCAAATGCAGAGCAGCTCCACGCTGGGCTGGAGCCCGGCTGGGGGCTGCAGCAGCAGCAGCTGCATCCTGCAGCAGCACAAAGGAGCCGTGCACGAGGGTGTGGTACAGGCTGTGCACAGCCCTGAGCTCTGCATCCCCTGCAGAGATGCTCCGGGGAAAGAGAGTGATCGTGACAGGAGCCAGCAGTGGCATTGGGGAGCAGATGGCGTATCACCTGGCACGCATGGGAGCCCACATCCTGGTCACGGCGCGGACGGAGGCCAAGCTGCAGAAGGTGGGCAGCAGGCACTGCGAGCATGGCTGCAATGCAGACCCCCTGCGGGCAGGCAGGAGCTCAGCTATCCACCCATCCCATGCTCACGGGGATGCTGGATTCCAAGCAGGCTCCTCAGCACACCACCATAAATTGTATTTTCAGTGCTGACAGCACAGCATTTCTTCCCCCATGGAATTCAGCTATTGCAGAGGAAACGTCCCTCTGAGCAACATCCCCCCAGCAAAGGGAGAAGGGTTGCCAGCCACCCCCAACACCTTGACCAGTGCCTCTCTCACTGTCCCCAGGTAGTGGACAAGTGCCTGGATCTGGGTGCTGCATCTGCCCGCTATGTGAGCGGCTCCATGGAGAGCACAGCCTTTGCTGAGGAGGTGGTGAAACAGGCTGAGATCACCTGGGGTGCGTAGCAAGCGCCCAAACCCTGTGCTACATTTTGGGGCCACCACAACGGAGCCTGAGGCTGAGGCCTGTTGCTGGCTGCAAACATCCAACACACTCTGCTTCCAGGAGGCCTTGACATGCTCATCCTGAACCACATCGGCCACAGCTTTTTTGACTTCTTCAACGGGGATGTGGATCACGTGCGGAAGCTGATGGAGACCAACTTCCTCAGCTACGTGGCCATGACCGTGTCTGCCCTGCCCATGCTGAAGGAGAGCGAGGGCAGCATCGTGGTGATTTCCTCCGTGGCAGGTGAGCACATGAGTGCCCATCTCTCCCTGCCTCGTGCCTTTCCTACTCATCTCTGTGCATGCATTGCAATCAGTGCAATTCTGCAGGCTTACCTGCGTGACCATACGTTATACACACATTTGCCATACATAGGTATATATGCAGGAAAACGAGAACAGTGCAGCCCACAACAAAGGTCTCTCACACCACGTGCTGAGCTTTAAACGTTTCTTTCCTTCCCTAAAGCATTTAAGATAGGTTGCTCACGCTACAACATTGCAGCTATAGGAAAGGCAGGGGCAGGCAGAGCCGTGCAGCCCCACACCCACCCAGCACAGGTGAGCTCTGACCCTGCGCCTCTGTCCAGGTAAAGTTGGCTCACCCTTCACTGCTCCCTACTCCGCGACTAAGTTTGCCTTGGAAGGATTTTTCAGCTCCTTGAGGCATGAATTCATCATAGAAAACGTCAACGTTTCCATCACGCTCTGCATCCTGGGCTATATTAACACAGGTAAGCTCAGCACCACCGAGGCTCACAGATAAAAACGTGGACCTGGTGTAACGCAGCTGTCCTTCTGTCACTGCAGAGAACGCGGTGCAGACGGTCTCACACGTCATTAAGGGAACACCAGCACCCAAGGAGGAGTGTGCACTGGAGATCATCCGCAGCGGGGCCCTGCGTCAGCATGAGCTGCACTACCCTGCCAGCAGCGTGACACCAACACTGCTGCTGAGGGACTTTGCCCCTGACTTCCTGGGTGGCCTCATCAGGAGCAACTACCAGGTGGAAAACATCAAGAAAGCACCGCCGCCCCAGGGCTCGGGGCATTAGCACAGCTCTGAGCGGCCAACACTTCCCCATGGGCAGTGGTGCCTCCAGAAAAGCCCACCTCAAAGCAGTGCTGGGGCCATTTCTGAAGGCGGCGTGGCTGGGAACTGTCTGCACAACACTGGGCACTGGGAGCCTACGACACAACATAAAAATGTTTATTTATGCTGCCCGTAAATGGCTCCTCGCAGGCAGTGGGGGTCCCCAAAAGGGCTCTGCAAGGCCAGAATTAGGAGCAGGCTGGGGGATGCAGGCAGCACCCAGACCCCAAGTGCTCCGTGTGCTTTGCTGCATCTCCCCCACATCCCTCCAAATGGAGGAGTCAGTCAAAAAGTTATGGATATGGAAGGCACCGGACCTGTAGAACACAGCCTTGTGCTTCTGAAGGAAAGATAGTGGGATTCAGATTGGCTCTACATGAAGATCTGCAGTGACCCAGTTGCAATTAAATATTTTAAATAATAATAATAAAATTATTTAGACTGGAGACTCACGGAAGAGGATTATAAAGCAGAACTGCATACTTACAAAGCTCCGAGCTCCTTCTGAGAAAGGATTTGGGCCAACCCCCATCAACCAACCAGCAAAGACAAACAGAGGATCCTCACACTACAGTGGTTTTTGCCTGTACCCTTACTTCCGAGCAATAAATCCTACATTACTCTGTGGCATCTCTGGTTTGAGTTTTGTTCCTCTTCCACTGTAGTATGTGCAAAACCCCTCTCAGCACAGAGCTGCTTAAACCCACCCCATGATTTGCATTAACGCAGCTTTCACTTCTCTAAGACCTTAATGAATTTCTGCCGTACGTGACCTCTCCTGAAACACACTTTTTTTCCCTCCTTTTCAATCTGCGAGAAGCCTTACAATAATAGCATTACTCCCTGGATTTCCTTACCCCCAAAGCAACCCGGAGTGATTCGGTCACCCAGTGCTGCCGGAGCCCCAGGACCAGTGCTCTGATAAGGGAGGCAGTTGCAGGGACAGGCAGTGGGAGCTGCTGGCACCCCAAGATAACCCCAAACCTCACGCTGCGCGAGCAGGACAGGAACCAGGGCTCAGGCTGTGGCCCCAACGCTTCCTGTTTGACAGAAAGAAACACAGTGAGGCAGCAGCAGCACGAAGCTGTGGGCACCCAGAGGACACAGTGTTTGTGCCCTGCAGCCCCGCGCTCACCCAGCTGCACCGAGGCACAGCCAGGTAAGTGCCTGCAGCCCTGCAGCTCCAGCGCTGCCCTCTCACCACGCTGCTTCTTCCCCTTCTTCCTCTCCTCTGTGATGGGCACAGGGAGGCGGTAACATGAACCGGCATGAAACGTTTCTTGTTGTTTGTTTCCCTTGAAGCAAGAAACGTTAACAGGTTGAAAAGCAAAGCTAAAGGACACGGTTGGTAATTAGAGAGGGTAACTTCAGGCAGTGGCAGAAGGACACAAGGTATTCTCTCACCAAGAAGGCCTCAACACTTTGCTCAGCTCGGGCTGAGTAACGGACTGCGTGTTTCCTTAAGCCTTACCTTGGTTTACAACAACTTCTGGTTAACTAAAGTGCTGCAAGGAGGCCTGAGGGACGGCCAGGTGGGCAACGGGGCTCCAGAGGGTGAGTGAGCTATGGATGGGAACAGCAGGGTCATTGTGGTAAGGATAATAAGACGTGGAAATAACCTGCTCAGCCTCTCGTAGCCCCAAACCCCTTCTGCTGGAACCACCAGCACAACCACCAAAAAGTA